AAAAATGCATGCCAAGGCTTAAAGCAGCAACAACGCTACACATAAAAACTGATGATGGTGGAAAAATACACCGAAACGTATTTTTATTAATAAATAGAGACAATAAATGACTGAAACCCAGGAATAGATTTAATTTGGAATTGAAACACAGTCAGGAAAGTATAGACACATAAAAAATATAAAAAGTAATTGTAAAGGTGGAGGATTAACGATTCTTAAAATTGGTATCCATCGCCGTTTTCGTTCTGGGACTTGATTTCTAGTTGTTCGTAAGGTGAAGGTCGATTTTATTTTATTTTCTGGATTGTAGTGCACGGCAGTTGCTGCGAGAAAAAAATCAGTAATAAATTGTCTGTGCAGGTGAGCCGGTTGAAAAACTGGCCGTAATTTATGGACCTGGTCGAATTCTGGATTAATTAACTAGCGACGTTGTATTCAGAACGTATTTTTCAATTAAACTGGAAAAAAGCACCCGAAATAGCCAGATGACGCTCATGAACGACAACCAAGAGGATAGAATTTCCAGTCGTGTCGAAACATTTACATATCGCGGTTTAATAATTATAAAGTAGAAACAATTATAGGTCAAATTGGATTCGTTAATAAAATTACTAGACAGGATGATCGAATCTGAGACCGGAATCTGGGATCTTTAATCATATATTTTTTAAACACAAATTTGTATCTTGTCCATAACCTTTAAAATTAGCACAGGTGTTTAATCTGAATCGTTATAACTTTCTATACCTATGTGATGTTCACATTTTTTCTTGCTGGCGGTCGGTCTCCGAAACAATATATTAAATTAGAAAGCGTATACGAAACAAAAGACCAACGTATTTTAGTATTAGGCTCACATCCATTTCTGCTGATTCGAGAGCGTTTTCCATGTCTGGAAACACGGTCTGCGGCTAATCAAATATTCATACCCACGTGTTGCCCATAGTCTTGATTTATATTTATATTCTACGCGTGTATATTTTATCCAGAAATATATATATTAACCGGGTTCTGGATATTCGGCAATTCCACAGGAAGCTTTCGGATTTTGAGGTAGGCACTGCCCCTGACTGTAAATCATATTTCGCGCTATGTTTAAAGTTTTCTGAGTGAAGTTTTTATTTCGCTTTGCGTGCAATCATTATATAATTTAATGCTCGATTGGTTGAATTAAAGCTGCAATGGGTCCAACGTGTTTGCATACTTCTAAAATTTCAGATCTGTGTTGCTCAAGTTCAGCGATCTTAACTTTTGATTTTTACTACCACGGGAAACGTGTTAAGCCTCAAAGTTTATGAGATCCGATACAGACAGTAAAAAGTTTTCAAATGCCAATATAGACTTCAAATAAAAACTTTTAAATTACAAATTTTTAATACATTCAACTTGAAAGCATAAACACGTTCAGTGTGAT